AGCTGCTTGAGGTAAGCACCAACTGGGGCCTGCACCCCTAACCCCCCCCTGCACCTCAACCTCCTCCCCTAACCATGATCCCCCTCCCTCCGTCTGAACCCCTTGGTCTCAGCCCAGAGCATTCTCCTGCACCCCAAACCCCGCATCCCTAGCCCCACCCCAGAACCCGCACCCCCAGCCCGAGTCCTCGTGCCCCCACAACCCTCTGCCCCATCCCAGAGCCCCCTCCCATACCCTGGACTCCTCATTTCTGGCCCCACCCCAGGCCCCACTCCCAGTCACAGTCCACACCCCCTCCTGCACCCCAGTCCCCAATTTTGTGAGCATTCATGGCCCACCATAAAATTTCCATACCCAGATGTGGCCCTCCAGCCAAAAAGTTTGCCCACCCCTGTGCTAACTACTTATGCTAAACAATCTGTTCCACCTTGCATTATGCTGCGATGCTCAGAGTAGCTTTCCCAGACCTGAAGAAGAGCTCTGTGTGGCTCAAAAGCATCTCTCTCACCAACAGAAGTTGATCCAATAAAAGATATTACCTCACCCACCTTGCCTCTCTACCTGGAGATTAGTCAGTAGCCATGTACTAATTTGCTTGTCACAGTAAGATGCTCCTTTAGTGTTGGATACAGAAGGTTTGGCAGAATGAGTGCCTGGGATTAGTTAATTTCATTTCTTCAGCCAGTTCTTTCCATGTGGCACCAGCTGCAAAAGAACTGCTAGTCCATTTCCTTTGGTGGGTGCTGCTTATACCCTTAGCTGGCTCAGTGTCAAGGAGAAAGTTAGAGGTGGAGGGAAAAAGGGGAGGGAGTGATCAGTAGAGGAGGATCAGTGTGACAGGCCTAGGGGGGAAGGGATCAGAGTCCTTCCCCCCCCCCCAGGGTCAGTGATAGGGCTGGGGTGGGGAGGAGATCAGAGCCCCCACACGCACTGGGTGACAGGGCTCCAGGAGGGGATCAGAGCCTCCCCCGCAGGCTCAGTGACAGGGCAGTGGGTGTGTTAAAAGATCAGAGGCCCTCTCCCCCACTGGGTGACAGGGCTCTGGGAGGGGATCAGAGCCCCCCCCAGGCTCAGTGACAGGGCTGGGGGTGAGAGGATTACAGCCTCATCCCCCTACCCCCCCCCCCACAGGCTCAGACACGGCTGGGGGGGATCAGAGCCCCCTCCCCCCAGGCTCAGGGTGGGGGTGTCAGGAAAGCAGAGCTCCCCCCTCAGGCTCAGTGACAGGGCAGGGGGGTGTCAGGAAAGCAGAGCTCCCCCCTCAGGCTCAGTGACAGGGCAGGGGGGTGTCAGGAAAGCAGAGCTCCCCCCTCAGGCTCAGTGACAGGGCAGGGGGGGGGTGTTAAGAGATCAGAGCCTCCCCCCACAGTTGGTGACGGGGCTCCACGAGAGAATCAGAGCCCCCCCCCCCGAACTCAGTGACGGGGGTGGGGTGTGTGTCAGGAAAGCAGAGCTCCCTCCCAGGGTCAGTGACAGGGCAGGGGGACACAATCCTAATTTATTTCTCCCTCGTCCCCATTTAGACGCATGCGCACTATCCTTTCCGTTATCCCAGGAATGCCCCCCCCTGCCGGCCCACGGCGCACGCGCAACTTCCCCTTTTCCCGCATGCGCGCTGAGGGTTGGCTCCCGCTCTCGCGGCGCAGGCGTGCAGGCCCTGCTCATGCGCTTTCCAAATGCCCCCCCCCAGGCCCCGGCCGCGCGTTCGGCTGCTGCCTGGGCTGGCGGTGGGGGCGGACTGGGCTCCTGCTTCCGGTGGGGTGTCATGGCGGCCTCGGAGCTCTGATGGCTGCGGGGAGCTGAGGAGCCGAGACCTAGCCCGGGACCCAGAGACCCTCCCCGCCCCGGCAGGCGGCGGGACATGGCGGCCCACAAGCCGGTGGAGTGGGTGCAGGCCGTGGTGAACCGCTTCGACGAGCAGGTAACGGGAGGGAAGGAAGGAAGGAGGGGGCCGCCGGGGGGCGGGGGCCTGCTCCCGACGTGGGCTGAGGGGGCCGTGGGAGGATGGGGGCCTGGGAGGGGGGAGCGGCCTCCCCAGGGGAGGGGTGGGGGCGAGGGCCGTGCCCGCTCCGTGGGCTGGGGGCGCCGCTCCCCTCTTGGGGCAGGGGCCTGCTCTCTCTATGGACTGGGGCGGGGGGCTGCTTCCGGCTTCCTTCCCCGCTTCTCAGCGCTGTGGAGGGGATAGGGGTTGTCGTTTCCTTGCTCCCCTCCCCCTTCCTCCCCCACCGCCCGGGCTGGGGTGACCGAGGGTGGGGAGTGGGAGGGAGGCGCTATAGGGTGCCTCTCTTCTGGGGTGGAGGGGATCTGGGGGGCTGCTCCACATTGCACTGGGCATAGACCTGGGGCGGGGGGGGGCAATATTTAGTGGGGGCTGTTCCTACCTAGCTTAGGCTCCGTGGGAGACGGTATGAGGGGCTGCTGCTTTCTTCCCCTTCACAGATTGGGGGTCGGGCAGCAGTGACTCCCCCTCCCCCCCACCAGTGGTTAGATACGGCCACTATGATCGGCAGAGTGTTTACTGGAGGGTGGGGCCTGGGTACTTCTTGCTTGTCCATCCCCAGTCTCCGAATCATCTTATCCCCTTACTGGTGAAATTGCTTCCCACTCATTTCCGGATGGATGATCCCAGCCCCGATGGTGGGGTGGCTCCCCTGGGTTATATGGTCATTTTCATTGTTAGCTTCCTCTAAATACAAAAGGGGGTGGGGGTGGCTATCTCAGTTGTCCTTTTCCTTGTCAGTTCCATCCCCAGCCCCTCTGAAAAATCACCTAAAGTTTTTGCTCAGTATTAATTTTTATTTATTTAACTTGTCTCATTGTCATTGAGAGAGGGGGGGATTAAAGCTTCAAAAGTGAGGAGTTTGGGGAGGGATAAAGTGAATGTTTATATGAAACTGCATCCCAATCAATTGGAAACACCAAACAAAGGCAGCTGGGTTGGGGGAGGGTCCCGGGTGTATATATTGTTTCAGTGTTAGGCTTTTCTCCTTCGTTATAAGAGTCAATGCCTTTGGAAGGGATTTTCACTGAAGGTTTTGTGGTTGGAAGGAAGAGCAATTTCTTGGTCTGGGGCTTGTGACTGTATGTATTTCTCTGATCCACATGGCGAGACTGTTCATTGGGACTACATGGCTGCACAGACATTCCCAGTTGATCTCAATGTTAGTTCTTAGACTGCACATTCCTTTCTCTTCCCCCAAATGCCTTTCTGACATGTAAGCCAGGACTTGGTTTAGGTTGACTCATTTGTTTCTTTGTTTTCTCCTTTTGCTGTACTTGAATAGATCCTTCCTGTGATTGGGGGGAGAGTATAAGATACCCCACTGTGTATACTTATCCATAGTAAACATGAAGCTGATTATGGAGGTTGAATTCTGCTCATCTGCCTTGGCTCTAAATATTTCTTAGCAGTATTGTCTAGTGTTGATAACCTGTAGAAAAGATTGGTGGCCTGTAAAGATAAGACTTTCGCTTTTACCTTTCTTTTAAAAACAGATATGAATATAGTTTCTTTGCAAGAAAATCTTTGTGCTTCTCTTTAATTTTTTTTGAGCAGTCAATATGATGAGGATTTTTTATAACTATAATGTAGCATGCTTTGGAGCCTGTTATTTTGCACAGTAAACTCCTTTTTGGATTACCTTGAATCACAGAGCTTTTATTTTCAGTAAGTTTAAAAGGAATGGTACTAATTATGCTCCCAGTAATGCAAGAAAACTTTTCTTTGTGTACTGGTGTTAAAAGGCCTTAGGCTTTATCGTTTGTTTTGTTATATACATTGTGGAATTGGGCTTGCCAACATCTGTTAGGAGTTAAGGACTTGATCTTTTTAAACAAGTATTTTCTCATACACTTTATGGAATAATTAAGGGTACGCATACAAGAGGAATCCTTTCCTACTTCCTTAGAAACAAAGCTCTTCAATTGTGAGTTAGCTGGAATACTGGAGTTACAGTTCCGTTGAAAAAATACTAAAGAGAATGTTGATTGCAATTGTCTTCCAGTTTGCATGATAGGTATGCCTTACAGGACTATTGAAATCAATTCATTGCTTAATTCCCATCTGGTTTAAGAAGCTTATAGTTATTGGTTTTTCACAAATTTGATAAGACACTTAGGAATAAAGCAAAGAGTCCTCGATGATACACTAATATTCTGAAACTTTTTGAAATATTATGCTGAAAAATATTTCTCCTTTCCACCTTACTTTATTTCATGTTGAGGTTTTCAAGTTTTGAGATTTCTTCTCATTGGCTTTGCCCATTCTGAGAGTGATCTTCATGTTGGAAAGGTGACTTTGGAATGCAGATCAGAGTAAACCTGTTAGGGTATTCTTATTCCTTAACTTTCTTTTAGGTATTACTTATGAATTGTGGATGGATAATAAGCCAGTCCCTGAACTGCTACTAAAACAGCTATGTGAATGACCAGCCAATAATGGTACAACGGTGACCACTGATCCCCTGGTTGCATCTTTGACTGCCCAGCAGCTGCTAATTTGAGAAGCCAGTTCGAATTACTCTTCAGTGAAGTACAGTGCCTGTAGTCCAATGCATACAATCTTCACTTCCTTTTTTACAGTGCTAGTAATGCATTTTCAGGTTTCTTTACTTCTGTGTGCAGGAAGTTTTGATTCCATCGTTGAAGGAGGTGAACTAACATTGCATATTATACCAGGAGTATGTTTCTGTTACTGACTAAAAAGGAAAACTCTTGTTTGCTGTTTTCAGAAACAGCAAAATATTATTTGCTCAGGTTTTGTTTTAAAAATTTACAAAATAGGATTTCAGTGAAAGATAGATGTAGTTACCCAGACAGTGTTTCCATTCATTTGTAAAAAGTCCGGTATTATTATTTCAAAGTGACTAAAACAGTATTTTATTGAGCAATCAGGACTAATTTATATTAAAGAAACAAAACAAAAAAATCAGAGCAAACTTGTCAGCTCTTGTTTATTTTCATAAATGTTTTGCTAACCAGAACACCTGTTGTGGGTATGATTCTGTATGATTAAAATGACTGGCAAGTGTGGGTTGGCATTGTAGGTCAGTCAGCATCTGGCTGCTGAATACATTTTTCAGAGCTGTGTGCTGCTCTCTCCCACCCCCAATCATCTTTGATTTTCAGATATTGTAATGTGGTCTACTTCAAGATACCCTTGAAGACCACCTGGAGGCTTCAGCTGGTGCAGAAAGCAACTTCTTATCACATGAGTGGGGCCAGGACATAGCGGAGTACATAGTGCTGAGATTTCAGGAGTATGCTGACTTCCAATCTGTTAGAAATTTTTATTACCTGAGTGGTCTAGGACTCAGATATGAGATGACTCTTTCTCAATTCTCCATTGCAGTAATTGAGATCGGCTGGAATGCTGTGGTAAAGCTATCCAGGTTTGACAGCAGCGCTTTCATGTCAAGCATCTCTGCCTTTGTAATTTTCTCCTCTTGGTGGTCTGCCAGAGTCCAAGTTGGGCAAGCTTCAGGCCCTGATGTAAGGCTCATTCATTTTGCTTAGTATTGGATTGTTTTGTTTTGCATCTTATTTGGGTATCTTTCTAGTTTTTGTTTGGTATATTTTTAAGATTTGGTCTCCTAAGGCCTACTGGTGACTGGCAAGCAGTTTTAGGTTGGAGTATATATTTGTATCTTCCATGTTTTTGTAACTTAAAGCACCTCTAATCACTACAGGTGCAATAACCATTAATAAACAAGCAAAAATATTCCAAAACATAATAAGACCTCCCTAAAATAAATGAATTTTAGGACTTTCCTATAGAAAAGTCAGTCTACTTTTGAATTTTAATTTTTTAAAATATTTTCATAGCATTTTTTTAGAGCATATCACATTTTAGGTAGAGGGAAAACCTATTAGGTCAAATAGGTCTCCCCAAACAGAATAATGGCAGCCCCATTACTTGAGGCATTTAAAACTAGACTATTAAGCCCTACCAAGTATAAGTACGGGCAGAATCCTGGCAGTAGGATGGGTTAGAAGAATTAAGCGACTTCTTTCTCTCCGTAATATAAATTAAGGAAAGAAACCCTTTATTAAATGGATTATAGTTAAATGGACACTGTCAACTATAGTCCCACGTTTCTAGTGTTTAAAAATGAGCTTTTATGAAACTCGGAACTAATAGAATTAAGAGTTGTTTTAAAGCAAATAAATATCATCTTGTTGTTTTTGAAATCCGTCACAGCACCAAGAATATGAAAGTGAACCTGATTTCATGGATTAATTTTTCATTATTTTTTTGCATCTCAGCAAAGTGACCACAAATAGTAACAAACGACATGTGAAAACATTCCAAGAAAACTCAGCTCCTCAGGCACAATGGAACTTTCTACCATATAGGTAAAGCTTGTCTGTGTCGAATGCAGAACTTTCTTGGAGGCTGTTCTCGGACTGGAACGAACTCGTCTAGGAGCTAAGGACCATCACAAACCCTCACTTTTTATGCCAACCGCAAGGCGCACTTCTTCAACCTGTTTTCTCTAACATAAACACAGAGCAGCAAGGACATTTAAAAACGAGCCCCAACCCAAAATGCTTCACCACACACACACACGTCTCCCTCTGGGGAGAAGATAGGAGAGACTGTTCCACACATGATAGACATGTGTTAGTCACGTCACTTAATGTGCTGCTGGAAAGTCCTTAGATGCTACAGTGATCATGGCAATGTAAGAACCTACGTAGAATAGAATAAGTTTGTGTTAGTATATATAGCTAAAGATAACATTTGTTTACAGCATAAGACTTTAAGTTGTCCCTTTTATTAAAATCCTTACTAAGAAGTAGAACAAAGTAGTATTTTCTGAAGTCCATTGTTTTTTGCCACGTACTACCTTGCAAGATTATTTTACTGAACCATGAGCTCTCAGGACCTAATCCTCTGCCCATTTATAGTTGGTGGAAAAACACCCATTGACATTATGGGCTTTCGATCAGTCCCAGACAACACTGATACTGACTGAAGGAGAGTGCATTTTATCTCTTCCCCTCTGAGTCCAAAACACCCATGTGTTGCCATAAAATCTGTTTGTGTAGATCCTTCTGTAGAAGGGGAATAAGCAGATGTTTTCAAATGTATGTATGCATGCTGTTAAGGATTGTCATTACTGCATTTCCACTAGAAATTTTCTTTCCAGATGTCAGTACCTTTATTTGAAGGGGGAGGAGAGAGACTGAAGCCAGCTTATACTTGAAGAGGGGCTTGGAGTTGAATCTTGAACACACTTGAATTTGTTTATTTTCAAAAAGTTTTCTGCTGAAAAACTTGTTTTCAGAAGATCCTACTTATAATATCCATTCTATTTGACTGTTGTGTCATGGGCCTAGCAATAGTGAACTTTGTGATTACTTTCATTAAAAAAAAAAAATTAGTGTTTGTGAATTTACTGGTTTATAGTTCAGAGCTTTTGCCAGGCTGCATTTAGTATGTCCACTTTTTAATCCTTGAAATTCTGTGAAGTGTATGCTGGCATTCATGCAAAAGTTGAAATGGTCACTTTTTCCATTTAAAGTGTTAATGGACTTTATGCATGTCTCGAACACTGAAAGTAAAGGTGTTAAAGGTAAACTTCTGCTAAAATGAAATAATTAAACCTTGTCTTTATTCCAAATATCAGTTAATAAAGAAACTTTCATGGTTCTTTGTTTACCTGTGTAAAATTGGTAGAATGGAATATCTTGGAAATGCCTGATCAAGACAATCAATGCTATCAATTTCTAATTAGATACAGTTGCTATCAATGTCCACGTTTTAGGAAAAGGATTTTATATTTTTGTGTATTTAAACAAGAGTATGTGGAACTAATGCAAATGTTTCTTTGGCACACTTACAAAAGATATTTATTTTCTTAATAACTTGACATCTGCATAGGAGAGGAGAGACCCTTAGCTAAGGTGTCTGAGGATATAGGCACTTCTTCCTCTAATGGGATGCCACTCCCCAAAATATTACAGTCTAGTATGCTGTCAGAGACCACACTGCTCTGCCCAGTGCAACAGCTATGTAAGTTCTTTAGTAGAATCTGCTTTTAAGTCTTAACGTCATCTTTCAGGATCTAACTGTAGAGATCCTATGAAGTATGTTTTTAAATGCCTTTTTATATCTGTTTACTTTCTCTTCTGTAAATTGCCAATAAACACTTAAATTGGTTTTTCACTATTAAATCTGACAAGTTACTGCCTGGCACTTTTGAAAGGAATGAAGTGCTTCCCTTGCTAGAGGAGACAGGTAAAAAAGTGAGTGCATGTGGACAGGGTCAAAGGCACAGAGAAAGTTGTGATAATCCTCTAGAGCAACATGGCAGACCATGTGGTATATACCATTGTAGATACAAAATAGGCCAGATGATCTGAGGCTACCAGGCACCCTTGTGGAACAGTTGTTAATTTATAGCACATTAATGCTTAAAGCCTTCAGTAAATACCATGTGACATTCTGTGGGGATGTGGAAAAAGGTATTGAAATGGCATTCTAGGAGTATTTTCTAAGATACCAGTAGTAGGCAGTTTATGCTGCTAAGCATCTGTGAATCTGACTAACTTTATTCTTTAAATAACCTATTTCTGTGAAGGGGTTTTGAACTTTTATTTTTTATAAAGCCAAAGTTGGAAGAACCTCATATTGCTTTCCTTTTGCAGTTTGCAAGGGGAATGTGCATCTCCTGCATAATTAAAATAAGAAACAAAATCTGTTGAAAACTTAGTTTAAAAGTGGAGAATAAGTGGGTTGACTTTGTTTGCATGCTTCTATTTTCTTGAGACTTGGTTTCCAACTCCAGCACTTTTCAAGATTTATATATTTTGTTTGTCTTTTGGAAGTGTAAAATAGAAAGCTGAAAGTCTAGTGACCCAGCGTAGACCGTACATTTTCCTCCGCCAATAGCAAATTTCTATTGTTACCTCTTAAGAATTGTTAGATTCTTGGACAGATTTGATAATGATAAAATAACCATAGCAAAGTCAGAAGAAATCTTAAATAGGTAGAAAGCATTTTAGAAGTTAGGTATGGAAATTCATTTGTGTACTGTTTACATTAGAGTATAAGTTTTGATCATCGGAGAGCTTGCATTAACAAGTAAGTCTATATAAAGATTCTTCAGCTTCTACCAATGAAGCTTGCAAGAGACTTGTGTATTTACTATACGTTGTTGTGCTTTCTATGTTCTACATTGGTATATTAGAATAAAATATACTGGTTGAAAGTAGGATGTAAAATATCAAACGGTTAACCGATTAACAGATAAATATTAGTCTTATTGTTAATATATTGGTGATAATGTTTAAAGCAGATTGATAAAATAATTTTGTGACATTTTACATCCCTACTTGCGCTGTCATTCCCTCAACCCAGCTGCACTCCCTACCTCCACATCTGAGCACACCATGTGCATTAACAAATCTACCTCTTCCCTATCCTTATCCCTCTCCCCACTCAGTGGCAGTGCCCAGGGCAGGACAAACCGAGCTGACCTTGCATGGCGGTGGCTTGGGAGCCCAGAACAGCGTGGACCAGGAGCAGTCAGAACGCGTTGTACTCTCGGGCTATCAGTGCTGGCTTCCAGGGTTGGGTGCCTCGCTCCCCGCCATGAACCAGCACAGGGACCCTGGGTGGGCACATCCCCTCCCCTACAGACACGGGCCCCCTGCTCAGGGAGCAGCTGCTGCGTCCTGCTGCCCTGCCCCGCCACCCCCGCAAGACCCCTCGTCCCCCCGGGAGACTCCACTGAGCCCCTGGACAGCGTCAGGGCCCAGGCGGCTGCTGCTGTCGAGTGTGGCAGGCTGAGGGGGCGGGTGGTGCTGTAAACAATATTTACATCCCTAATTGAAAGACTGTACTCGGACTAGTTATCCATGGTTTGCTATCAAACTGGGAGGGTGTATCTAGTGAGGTCCCTTATGGATCAGTCCTGGTTCCAGCTCTACTCAATATTTTCATTAAGGACTTGAGTAATGGACTGGAGAGTGTGCCTACATTATATGAAGCTGGGGGGGGAGGGGGGTTGCAAACACTTGGGAGACAGAATTATAATTTTCCAGGGTCATTTTGAATTCAACAGGATGATATTCCATAAAGAGAAATGCAAAGGAATACACTTAGGAAGGAAAAATCAAATGCTGAACTACAAAATGGGGAATAACTGACTCAGCAGTATTAATACTGCAGAAAAGGGTCTGGGGGTTATAGTGGATCACAAACTGAATGAGTCAACAATGTGTTGGAGATGCAAAAAAGCTAATATTCTGGGGTATATTAACAGGAGTGTCGTATGTAAGACATGGGATGTAATTGTCCCGCTCTATTCGGCACTGGTGAGGCCTCAGCTGTAGTACTGTGTCCAGTTCTGGGCACCACACTTTAGGAATGATGAAGACAAATTGGAGGGAGTCCAGAAGAGCAATAAAAGTGATAAAAGGTTTGGAAAACCTGACCTATGAGGAAAGGTTTAAAAAAACAAAACTGGGCATGTATTGTCTTGAAAAAGAAGGCTGACGGGGGGACTTGATAAGTCTTCAGATATGCTAAGGGCTGTTATAAAGAAGATGGTGATCAATTGTTACCCATATCCACTGAAGGTAGGATAAGAAGTAATAGGCTTAATCCTCAGCAAGGGAAATTTAGGTTAGATATTGGGGGAAAAAACTTTCTAACTATAAGGGTAGTTAAGCACTGGTACAGGCTTCCAAGAGAATATGTGAAATCCCCATCATTGGAGGTATGTAAGAACAGGTTGGACAAACACCTGTCAGGGATGGTCTAGGTTTACTTGGTCCTGCCTTCAGCGCAGCAGGCTGGACTTGATGACATCTTGAGGTCCCTTCTCCTCTTACATTTCTGTTGTTCTAACATGGTTGTCAACACAACCTGGCATTTTATTGTTGAGACTTCTTTACAAAACTACTTTATGGCTTTTCCTTTTGGTTTCCTCCTGCAGTAAGGTCCTATAAGGTTAAGAACTTGAAAGTTTGAATAGAAGGAAAACTATAGGTGTGACCCAGCTAGTGTCATCTTCCTATTTTTTCTGTCATAACCCTCATCTCCACTTCTCCACGGAACAGGACAAAATACTGAACTACCAGCAACGTCGTTCCTTTTATCGTGAATAAACAATATTCTTCTAGTTCTCTTGGGGCTTGTCTATACTCCATTTTTGTACTGATTTTAGCCATCTGTTTAGAAACAGATCTGACTAAATCAGTGCATGCCCCTACTGTGGATGCGGTTATAGTTTTACAAAGGTGATTATATTGATATTTATTGATATTTATTTATTTACCAATATAGTTAAATTGATACAATAACTTATAGAGCATAGGAATTGTGCTTCTTCCAGAGTGGTACTGTGCTCCTCTTCAGATCTGTGAGGGCAACTGCTGCATTTGCTTAGATCAGTCTTCCTTTAGATTTGTGACTCTCCTAACCTTTGCCATTCTGTTATGTTTGGGCTTAAATATGTCCACTATGTAGCTTTGATTGGGTAGGTAGTAATGTGCAAGTTGTTAGTTTCAGGATTCAGTCTGACGACGTATCCTTCAGGTTCTATTTTTCCCTTTTTCCTTATTTTCTTTATAATAATGAAAATAAAAGCATTGTAGGAAGCCTCTTCCTTTAACCCTCAGGTATACTTTTTGTATAATAAATATATTTAACTATAAGCATTTTGGTTTCACGTACTCCTGTAATGACATTAATACACTCGCTTGCAATGTTATAGCTATGTTGGTTCCAGGATATGAGTTCCAAGATAGTTGGGGTAATATCTTTTAGTGGATCAACTTCTGTTGGTGAAAGAGACAAGCTTTCGAGCTACACAGAGCCCTTCTTCAGGTCTGGAGAAGGTAACCACATTGTCTTGAGCTAAATGCAAGGTGGGACATGCTGTAGGAGACCATTTAAAATGAAGAGGGCAATTGTTTGTATTGTTATACTGCGCCATAAAATCAGTGTGTCTGTTAAGTCCATGGTTTTCAAGAGTCCAGCAGAGTTATGAATTTAAGTTCCCAGGCTCGCCTTTTGTACAGGTTTCCTCTGAGGATGAAGACTGAGAGGTCAGATATGGAGTGATTGCTTTGTCAAAAGTACTTGCCCAAGGGTGATAGGCTGTTTTTGGTCTTTTATCATTTTTCTGTGTGAGTTGACTTGAGAGCATAGTGATTGTCAGATTTCACTTCAGGCATTTGGAGCGCTGGATGAGGTACACCACATGTTGTGATAGGCATGTGTGGGACCCATAGATCTTGACAGGTGTGTCACAGGGGTATTGATCATCAGGGATCCTAGTTTTCCGCGATTAAAAAACTCTATAAAAATGTGTGTTTTTCAGTGATTAAAATGAAACGCTGAACTTCAGTTTCCCCTAGCCACAATAGAGAGCCCGGAGGCTCACTGCCCAGGGCTTGGGCCATCAGCTCTGGTTCAATTAATATGGTGAGCCAGATAATGGAGACTCAGATAAACAGGGTTCTACTGTGTATGTTTTAATTTTTTCACAAAATGTAAAAGCTAAAGATTCTCTGTTTAAAGAAATACAAATTCTACGTTTTTCCATGGTCAGCTGATTTCTAGGATCCCTGCTGATCATTGTAGCAGTGGAGATATATCTGCAGATTTTGCATCTGTTCTGGCAGGGTCTGGTGCTGCATTGAGTTTGGTGTATCCTGGTCTGTGGGGGGCTTGTTTCTGATGATGAGCTTGTTGAGACGGGGAAGTTGTTTAAAGGCCAGAAGAGGGGGTTCAGGAAAGATTGGTGCCAACCAATTTTTTCCCCTTAATTTTTCGTAGCTCTTAGTTTCTTAATGTTTTAAGAATGATCTACACTGAGAAGAGGGTTATTAAATAAATGACACTTGAGCCAGGTCTACCCTATAAACTTACATTGGTATAACTAAGTCATTCAGGAGTGTGAAAAATCAACACCCTTTAGTGACAGTTATACCGACCTAACTTCCAATCAACTGTGTCAACAGGAGGGCTTCTATCAACATAGCTACCACCTCTCATGGAAGTGGATTTAACTATATTCATGGGAGGAGCTCTCCTGGCATCTTCACTGAAGCGCGAGCAGCTGTACCACTGCAGTATTTTAAGTGTAGACCCAGCCTTGACCATTACTGATTTGATTAGTTTGACATTCCTGTGCTCAGTGTTTTGTGAAGTAGTGTTAGTTTATCAACATCTTTTGGCGTTGTATTCAACTCCAATAAGTTTAGCAATGAAAGAAACAACTTCAAGCTTTTTAGACCATGATAAAAAT